ATCATTCTTCGCCATTGACTCCACCCGACCAACCGGTGCACTGGGTCCGTGACCGCTGGCCATGGCAATGATGGTGCATACATCCGAGTTAACTAATTTTAAGTTGTGTATAAACTGACATATAGCTAGTACTGTTTTCCATTAAGTATTAGCCACCAAATGAATGAGAAAGATTGTGAGCGGCCGAGTGCTCCCGTCGGTTGAATATATGATTATTTTGTTTTTGTATATGCGACGAATGGTTAACACTACTCATCCTCAATGTCTCAAAAAATACTTTCTTTCTTAATGTTGGTCACTGTATAAAACTGTGAATAAAACAGTGTAAACTGATACAGGGACAACATTAAGAAAGAAAGTATTTTTTGAGACATTGAGTATCAGTAGTTAACACATTCAATTTGTTGTGTGTTTCATAGTAACACTTGTTTAATGTGATTGGCTGTCAATATAGTCACATATGTAATGAGTAGTAGTGGTACATGTGCTGCCATCCAACGACTACTCATTTTTGTGGCACCCGCCAGGCGGAACGCCCGTGGGCGGACGCCATTGAAAGCGCTTATAGGAATAAACGCCAAATTTATATTCCCTAGGTAAATCTAACAATTCACAAGCGTAACGTAATTTGTGAACAGCGCCCACACATAACATGATAAAAACGTATTGAAAATTGTGTTTTGTTTACAAGTATTACATATTGTGTGACAAAAAACCAATGCTTTATAACAGACACCAATCGTACCGATAATTGGCCGCAAAAGTCCGGCCAAACATTACGAGTAGTGCAACAAAACTCATTGAATCACTCGCTATCGCAGCGACCAATCGGGTGAGCGGTTCCCAAGAAGTGTGACCAGCGATGCCGCGAATCATGATAAAGGGTGGCGTTTGGCGCAACACCGAAGACGAGGTGCTGAAGGCGGCGGTCATGAAGTACGGGAAGAACCAGTGGTCGCGTATCGCTTCGGTTCTGCACCGAAAGTCGGCCAAACAGTGCAAAGCGCGATGGTTTGAATGGCTCGACCCGTCCATCAAGAAGACCGAGTGGTCGCGCGAAGAGGAGGAGAAGCTCATCAATTTGGTCCGTTTGATGCCCACTCAGTGGCGTACCATCGCGTCCATCGTCGGGCGCACGGCATCGCAATGTCTGGAGCACTACGAGCAGCTCCTGGATCAGGCCCAGCGCAAAGACGAAGACGGTGTGGCCGGTGGTAGCGGTTCCAGCGCCGCCGCGGCGGCTGACGATCCGCGCAAACTAAAGCCCGGAGAGATCGACCCGAACCCGGAGACCAAACCCGCGCGACCCGACCCTAAGGACATGGATGAGGACGAGCTGGAGATGTTGTCCGAAGCGCGCGCCCGTCTGGCCAACACTCAGGGCAAAAAAGCCAAACGCAAGGCCCGGGAGAAACAGCTGGAAGAGGCGCGACGACTGGCCAGCCTTCAGAAGCGTCGCGAACTCCGAATGGCCGGCATTAACGTCGGCCTCCGGTCGCTGAAGCGTCGCCGCGGTATTGACTACAACTCGGAGATACCGTTTGAAAAGCCAGTGCCCGCGGGCTTCTACGACACCAGCGAAGAGGCGTACGAACCCCAGGACCAGGACTTCCGTAAACTACGACAACAACAACTCGACGGTGAGCTCCGGTCGGAGAAGGAGGAGAAGGAGCGCAAGAAAGACAAACAAAAGCTGAAACAACGCAAAGAGAATGATTTGCCGAACTCGTTGGCCAACGCCGAAGAACCGACCAAAAAGCGGAGTAAACTCGTTTTGCCGGAGCCGCAGATCACGGACGCCGAGTTGGAACAAGTGGTCAAATTGGGTAAAGCGAGCGAATCGGCCAAAGAGACCGCCGAAGAGTCGGGCAATCGGGCCTCTGAAGCACTGCTGGCCGACTATTCCATAACAGCCGCGGCTAATGCGGCGGCCATTCGTACGCCCAAGTCGTCGGCGCTGAGTCGCGACACTATCCTAATGGAGGCCCAGAACCTGATGGCGTTGACCAATGTTGACACACCGCTGAAGGGCGGTCTCAACACACCGTTGCACGAGTTGGACCCGTCGATCGCCGGCGCCATCACTCCCGGCGGCACCGGTAAGACACCGCTATCGGTCACACCGAACAATATGATCGCCACACCCTTCCGGACGCCATCCGGCGGTGCGGACAGCAGTTTGGCTGCCACTCCGCGAACGCCCGGCTCTTCGGTTGGCGGTCAGACACCGTTGGCCACACCGTTGAGAGACAAGTTGGCCATCAATGCGGAAGAGGCGCTGGTCTTCGAGGGCGACGAGCGGTCGGCAAAACAGCAGCAAAAGGAGACGCGGGAAACGCTGCGCAAAGCGTTGTCCGCATTGCCGGCGCCGAAGAACGAGTACGAGATTGTGGTCAACGACGAGGAAGATATGGACGAGTCGGCCGACGCCGGCCTATCCGTCGAAGATCAGGCCGACCTCGACGACCAGCGCGAGCGGCGCCGACTGGAAGCGCTGGAAGAGGAGCGCCGACGGCAGTCGCAACCCGTGCAGCGAGAACTGCCCCGACCCGCAGATGTGAACAACTCTATACTGAGAACCGGCGCTCAAGCGACTGATCCCCAGATGTCGGCCATACAGCGGGCCGAAGAACTCATCAAAGAAGAGATGCTGGTTATGCTCCACTACGACGCCGTACACAACCCGACCGACAGTCAACTGATGGCCAGTAGTTATCGGTCGGCCCGCAGTGGCAATCAATCCAATCCGAACGCCGTTCACACGACGTTTTTGGAGAAACACCCGTACGTTAAGTACAGTAAGGATCAGTTAGCGGCCGCCAAACAGGTGCTCCAGACCGAGATGGATGTGGTGAAGCAGGGTATGGCACACACGGAGCTCACACTCGATGGCTACTGTCAGGTGTGGGACGAGTGTCTGTCGCAAGTGCTGTACCTGCCGTCCCAACACAAGTACACCAGAGCTAATCTCGTCAACAAAAAGGACAGAATTGAGTCATTGGAGAAAAGGTATGCGTTGTTGAGCACCGGTAGGCGTTTGTGTGTCGGTATTAAATGTGTGTTTAACTGATCCATAGGTTAGACCAGAATCGGTCTCATATGACGAAAGAGGCGAAAAAGGCGGCGAAGATTGAGAAAAAGTTGCGAATCCTTTTGGGCGGCTATCAGTCACGGGCGGCGCAGTTGACCAAACAGACCAGCGATCTCGTGGAACAAGTGGAACAGACGACACTNAGTCACGGGCGGCGCAGTTGACCAAACAGACCAGCGATCTCGTGGAACAAGTGGAACAGACGACACTCGAGTTGCAGACGTTTACCATTCTTAAGGATCACGAAGAGATGGCCATCGATAAGAGGATCGATGTATGAATTGGTGTTTTGTTTTGTGTGTTTGTATTGTTTTTATTGATTTGTGTTTTTTGCCGTTTAGTCTTTAAGCGAAGACGTGAAGAGACAGAACGTCAGAGAGTCGTCACTGCAAGAGAGATACGACCAATTGATCCGCAAAAGAGATGATCTCTTATCCCAATTGAAGCCACAACCGAACCAATCAAATGAGACGACAGAATAGATGCCAGTGTTTTGTTGGTTTGGTTTTTTAAAGACTTCATTGCTTTTGTTTGATCCACAAAATCATCGATACTTTTTTGAGACACTATTTTCATTCATTGATTACCTGTTTATTTGCTTTATATCAACAAATTGTCGGATTTAATTGTATAATACATTTACTATTCAATCAATTGTCCCGCAAATGTCGGTTATTTTTCTTTCTCTTTTCTCTCGCTATCATTCAATTGAAACATAAATAAAACAAATTGTAATTTAAGTTATAATCATTGATATAATTATTATTTAATTGTGTGTTTAATGTTATACGTGTTTACTTAGGCGTGCAGTGAGAGAGTGCTATCGATTATATCAACAATTAAATAAATTTTTCATTACATTATTATTAATTTTTATTTCCAATTTCTAGAAAAACCAAATAAAAACTTGTTTAAAAATTTTCAAACAATAGTTAAAAATAGTATTTCAAACCAAAAACTTTCACTTGATTTCAAGTTCCCCTCCGTTTCACATCGTTTTCAAAGTCTTCCCACAAAACATCACAAATTGTCCTCAAAATGAGTATCTCATCGAAGATTGCAAACCTATTCTCACGTTGTGTCTCGTATTGGTTCGGAGATGTATTTACGCAATACAGGCATCACTCGGACGACAACGAACCCGAACTGAGCCCAACGGAAGGCATCCGATTCTCGTCGGTTTACGACCACTTCGTCCGCAACTCTAAGGGCGTCGACGACTGGCCGAAGAGACGGAAAGCATTGCTGGCCAGCCATTACGCGCGTCCGCGACAGACGCAGCCGTCCGGTGGCCAACATCTTCGGCCTAATCCCCAGCTCTACACCGGTAACCAACGCCGGACTGACACTCCGAGTCCACCGCTCACTACCGGTCACAATACGCCTAACCCTCAGCCTAACGGACGCCAAATCAGAGCTGATTCCCCGACCAAAGGGGTTCACCACTTAAAGAGTGGTCAAAAGGCCGGCAAAGGGATCGCAGAGGACAGACACGATCGGCAGTACAAGTCCTATGGGTACGAGTCGGTCGCCGCCTTCCCTTTGCACTATGGGTTTGACGACTGGGCGCTCGACTACGAGGAGTGGTGTGAAGACGACGACCTGTGGATGAGTCAGTACAGGGCGTTGGAGTGCGAGTACCGGTCGGGCAATCTGTCGCGAAAGTGGTGGGGATTGGAAAGAGCCCAATGGCGGCACCGATATAACAAGTGGTCGGCCGCTCTCAAACACTGGCGCTATTTATACGACCAGTGGTGTCAGGCGTACGACGAGGAGCAGGAGCTGAGGGCACGTCTGTCTGCGAGTCGGAGACAGTGGCGGCCGTACGACCACTGGTCGGAAGGAGTGGACGACAGGACCGGAGGGCGTCGGATGACCGCTACGATCGGTCACCCGATGGCCCGTTAGAGCGTTGGGCAGTCGTGTGAAGAGGTATAGGTGTGTGAAGCAGGGGTTGGGGGAGTGGGGAGTGTATGAGCGGTGAGTGGTTTGGACACAGAACATAAGTCCGGTGACCCGTCAGCGACCCTCTCGACTGCGGGCGTTAGGGTAGACACAGAGCCGGCGGCGACCCGTCTACAGACCCACCGCAACAGTTGCACTCCCCCGGGGGTGACCACAACATCGGTCACCACCTCTTCACACGTGTGGCCATACGGGCCGACCGTTCGCTGTTTTCTCCAGAGTTTGAGATTAAAAATTGTTTTGAAAATTAATTGTAATTTCCATTTATTTCTTGCCATTAATTGTCATAACATTTACTTTCCGTAAAGACTGAATACATATGTATTGAAAGTTATTTTTCTCATATTATGTACAATGTTATAGAATATAACTTATATTTCTATCAATAATAATAATGTATGAATCATTCAAATCACATACTTTTCAAAACCAATTTCGCTCACAATTTAAATGCAATTTTAGTTATGATTTCACATAAAACACAAAAATGCGATTAAAGTCTTGTTTTATAATTGTATTGAAAAACTTCAAAATCTCTCTCTATCTCTCTCTCTCTCTCTCTCTATCTCTCTCTCTCAGAATCTATTATTTATCTGTTGTTTTTCAAGTGAAA